GCGCGGTGGGGGCCCCGGCGGAGCCCGCGACTGGCCCGTCGGAGCTGCGGGCAGGTGGGGAGAGAGGAGGCCGTGCGAGCGAGGGCCCAGCGGGAGTGGAGGGCGCGCAGCCCGCGGCGACGGCCTCGGAGGGTAGAGGCCAAGAGGGCGCGCGAACCGGGCCGCCCCGGAGCAGGGGCGCGGAGAGGCGGCTGAGCCTCTGCTCCCTCGCTGGGTGCCGCTGGGGCCCTGGGTCGGCGGTGCTCCGCGGCGGCCCCTGCCTGCCGGCGCCGAGCAGCCCGGGTCGAGCTTGGGCTTGGGGCACGCGCGGGACCCCATCCCCCAGGCCCCCAGCAAAAGTGTGAGAGGACTCGCCGGGCCTTGCCGGCCACACAGGTCGGACACGAGGTGATCCCCAGCCGGGACTTCAGGCGACACGGCTGAGCCGGCTCACGGGCTTCCTCCCCGAGCCGGGAGGGACTCGCGGCCTGGAGCCATGGGACAGCCGGGAGCTGAATCGGGAAGACAGGCCGCCTTCGCTCTCACACTTGGACTGTCTGCAGACAGAGCTGTCTAATCAATTGTTTTGTGTGTGGACTGGAGAAATGAGAGTCGGGTTGTGGGTGGGGTGTTTTTGCCCATGAAGTCTCCCGTCTTCCCCTCTAGTCCCTGGCAAGTTAGAAACCAAGAACGCGGTGTCAGGGCAGCAGCCGCGGGAGCAGCGGGCACCTCGGTGCGCTCAGCCTCCCTGGCCGCGGAACTCCGCAGTGTAGCCCGGCGAGACGCTGTCATGCTAGGCGCCTTTCCAGCGCCTTGTCCAGTCCTCGCCCAAGCATTCCCACACTCCCTAATACTTTTTTCTCGCTTTGGCGTCAGGGATCAACCCAAATATAGGATTCTTTTTTGGAGGGGTAGTAATCAATCTGTTTCTTTTTTAAAAAATATATTGTTCATTTCACTTCTCTGCAGCAGTGTAAAAGCGCGCCAACAGTATTGTTTGCTTTTTAATGAGCCTGATGTCTGTGCTTTCATCTAAGGGGGAATAAACGTACACAAGCCTGGAAGCTGGAGGGTTTCAGTTTCCGACTAAAGGTTAGGAGTGTATGTGCGAGTGCGTGTGCGTTGCTGGGAGGGGCGGAAACCCTGCTTCAGCCCAGCCTAAATTGTGAAATGAAAGCCTAAGGCTTCTTGCCGAGCTTCTTTGCCAGGCATCCGCCGAAGTGAAAGCAGAACACAAAACACTTCAAATTTTCTTGAGCAACTTTTTCAACTTATTGCCAAGCAACTGAACACTGCTGCGGTAAAATATTCCCACACGCACAGCTCACTCAGTATCCAGAAAGAAAGCCTGCTCTGACGATACTTGTTCAACCGGTGGGAGACATTTATTTTTCTCTTCGGTAAGGGTACCGCCTTGGCTTTCTGCTAGATTCCAACTCTACAAACTGCTCGGCTGAGCCTCAGGTTCTCATTTAACAGGACTGCAGCTGTTGGTGCTGCATCTGCCTTCCTCAGACAGAAGCGCTGCTTTATGCAGTTTTTTTTTTTTCAGTTACAATCTGGGCAATAAAGGAAATTATATTTAAACTACAAAGTTTTGTATTTTAAAGCGCTATTTCCTTTGCTGTAGTAGCGCGCGGCTGAGAAGGTTGGTGACCCCTACCATGCAATCATCCAGCGAAAACTTAGCTGCTGGGTTGGTCTGCTCTGGTTTCTTTTTCTGGGTTAGGAGGAGGCAGGGTGAAAAACATATTATGAAAAACAAATCTGCCTTTATTGTAGTGCAAGTAAATATTACAGTGGAAAGAAATCACGTAAAAAAGGTTGTTTTCTCGACTGCTTGTTACTCTTTTTGTCTTTAAAATTTCTTTTGTGGCCATAAATCCTGGTTTCCTCTTCGCTATGGCACAGAAGCCTATGGATTGAGACCAGAGACTACATACCCTGAAAATGTCCCCCTGAAGTTACAACGAGAGTGAGCGCACAGCTCAGTTTGTACCTTGTGGGGCTTCTATTTTTTTACACAGTAGTTTACACTGATAAATTCGTTGTAAGCATATGGGAAGATTTAAAACTTTAATTAATGAAGAACATAAAAGCAAGATCGACATATACACTGTCTAGAGCCACTGACTTTTTTATTTCCGTATTTAAGAAAAGAAAAATAAAAGCCAAGAGGCTCTGGCGCTGCTGGAGACTTCCCAGCCCTTTCCTTGGCCAGCTACGATAGCACCTGGGCTGTGCCAGAAATGCCAGTTGCAACTCTCCTCATGGACGGGAAGGAAGTGAGGTTGGGTCTGCCCAGCATTATCTAGAGCCTCAAACCCTGAAATTACCCCCACCCCACTTCCCCAAAGTGACAGCCACGGGATTCCAATCACAACAGTGAAGCAGTTGCTTCAAGTAACCTCCTTAGCTACTGACCCCCAAAGTGTTGTAAAGATGCAGAAGGCTATGTGAAGTGTTTCTGTGGGGGGCTTATTACTTCTAAATTTAATCTCTAGAAAACAGAATCAGAGGTAGGAAAGGTAAATGCTGACTCTCTTGCTTTTCCTTAAACTCCTCACCTTAGCAGCCATTGCCCAAGATAAAAAGGAGATATATGCCCAGGTCAGACAGTCACGCCGTATGTCACCTTACTTCGGCTTTCCTTCATCCTTAAGAAACTCGGATTAAAACAGAGCTGAGTTTTAAAATGAACTTTTATTTGTTCGTTTCAGACCACTTTTGAGGAGAAAAAACATTCTCCCGATAGAGGCTAAAGCCCCTTCTAGGAAGGCAGTTTATTTGCCATTACCTGACCATTACCACGGCTTAGGGCTTCTTTATTGCATTTGGCACTTTGAGCACAGTCTTCCTGGAGCATTTCGATGTGTTTCATACCTCCACTCCCGCCTCTAAGTCTGTGTTTAGGGGAAGGTTAATTACGTCTTGCTTTCTCCCCTCTTCCTCAACAGTGTGGGAGGAGATGGTTCATTAGCTGCAGAGCCAGCAAGACTGAAAAGCCACGCTTTCTCCTCCCAGGTTTTTTATTTGTAGGGACTGAGGAACCTCAGGTCTTGGCGTTGGTGTGCATGTGAACATGCATGTGAGTGTGAGTGAATATGTTGTTTGCCAGGTAGCCACGCTCCCAGTATTTCTTAGCTCAGGCTTCTTTCTCCCTGCATCCCTGGGCCTGCCCTCCTCTGTGGACAGACATTCACCAGACAGACGCTTACCAAGTAGAAGTGAGCACAGTCATTCTAAGACATTTTTGGTTTCCTTCTTTCTTTTCTTTTTTTTTCTTTGAGTTGAAGGCAATGGGTTTCTCTTTAACTATCTGAGTATTTAGGAGTTTATTTTACTTTGTTTTCAGAAGTTGGGGCCAGATGATCCAAGGCTGCAGTGGAGACCTAGAGGAGGCCAGAGCTGGGAACTGGGAGTGCGTGGCTCTGTCCCCTGCAGATGTGGAGGGCAAGACAGCACCGACTAGCTGCCCCAGCAAGCATGCCCTGCTCCCCTCTCTTCAGGCATCTCTCCACTTTGCCTCCTCCCTGAGATGGAGAGACTTGTCTGTCTCTGGCCACCCCTCTTCCCATTTCCAAGGTACCCAGCATAGCACAGAGCCCTGTTCCCTAGAGCTGACCTCACCTCCCAGCCCCACTCTCAAAACCTCCTGGTAAGGAGAATAGGGCCACTGGGGCCTGGGGTGAGGTGGAGGAAGGATTCGGTGTTCACTCAGCCACCCCCTAAAAGCAACCCCACACCTGGCTCCTCAGGCTTCTCAACTCACAGGTTTGGCCACAAGTCTTGCACTCCAAAGCAAGGGATATTTCATGCTTGGTGTGTAGCTGGCCTCAACAGAGTATGTACTGACAGTGTAAATGTATGCATACTCTTGTTTGCATACACATTTACACACCTTGGTTGAGGAACACTCTTGTGCAAAGCTCAGGGACACACTAATTCTCTCTGGCAGGGTAGACCCCTTCTCAACTTCACAGGGTAGGGAAAAGAGGGGCTATAGAGGGAGGGAACAGTCACAGTCTAAGGATGCCAGGCACAGTTTTCTGGAGTAGTGGTTAACCCTTCCTCAGCTGGAAGATGCTGTCTAGGCATTTTCTAAAATAGTCTGTGGGGTCTGCTTTTCTTTTCTCCTGGGCTGCACGGTATGAATCATTAGTTCCCTCCCTACTTACCCACTCCATTAGCCACCATCCTCTTTCTAAAATTAGATTTCTCCCTTCCTGCTCTTTTAGCCTTCTGAGTTTACCAGGGAATTCACAAGGAAATTGACTGAGTAGTGAAGACAAGTATAAGGAAGAGGATAAAAAGGAAACAAACAAATCCAACAGAAAACAAGAGAGGGGGACAGAAAGCTGAGTGTGTCTCCTTCCAGATCCCTAGGTTCCACACAGATGGGTATTATCTTCCCCACCGCCAGTAAATGAAAAAATACAATTCTTGGTAATTACCTTTGCTACATGCCATATAAGAAACTTCAGAAATGTTTCTACAGAGGGAAGAAACTGTTTACAAAACTCTTTCAAAAGTGTGACATATTGGTCTAGTTCAGCACTAAAAAGCTAAATATACTTATTCTCCTTTGAAGTGGCCCGGCTGGGGCAGCTAATTTGAGTGTTGTTCAGATATTGCTGTGGGTATAACTAATGGCTTCTACCCATTTAGCTCAAGTGGGTGGAGAGAAAGGCCTGAATTCCTTGTCCAATGGGTCCCTCTGGAGACTGGGTTCTGGCTCCCGGCCAGTTCTATACAATGTCAACATTGAATATTTGAATTCCCAGACTCTATTTAACAAGTTTCTAAATAAATAAATTCATTGTGTGTCTATGTTTAAAATTATTTCACCTCTTTCATAAAATCTTACATTGGCCTTGCAAATTGATTTAAAAAAATAAACAAACAAACAGAGCTTAAGGCATTTTAGTAGCCAGATTTTCACAATACGTACATATTGGAAAGCCGTTGTCTCAAGGGAGGGTAGAATTCACGCTATACTATGTGACTTGATAGCGAATTGCAATAAAAAATTAAGCTAAGTTCAGAAAGTCAGTAAAATATTAATCACATCTAAATGGAGGTGGAAATTTAGTGCCTTTACATATTTGATAATTTTGTTCAGTGGGTCTTTAGGGGACTTCATTGGTGAGTCCTGAATGAACATCTGTGGGTAGATTCCCCCATCATCCTTAAATTCGAAAGGCAGGTACAGAACTGCATGTGTGAAGTTTTGTTTCTGGGCATTTTTTTTTTTTTTTTTCTGTCTCTGTCACTGCAAATTGAAAGGAGTACAAATATAGATATGAATTATCCTTATTTTCACTTTGGTTAAAAGATCTCCATGCATTTTACAATTTTATTAATTTCCCAACATTTGAACATCCATGAGGAGTTTTTTTTTTTTTTTTTTTT